TTCCCCCCCCGCCCCCCCTCCCCCCCGTGTGCTCTCGGTCCCTCCCTGGGAACAGGCGCTGCCCACCCAAGGAGGCGACCGGCGCTCCTGCCCCGCTCCCGCTTGCTCACTCGCACACACATATACCCGTGCGTGCGCCTCTCTCGCTCCCTCACTGAAGTCAGTGCTTGCGTTTTCAGGTTGCTCCGACCTGAAATCTAAGGGAAAAAGCTCAGCGTTTGCGTCGCTGCTCCTGCCGCTGGTGGTGGTAGCGGTGAAGAGGAGAGAGGGTTTTGGTTTTTTTTTTTTCCCTTGAATTCAATGGATCTGAACTTGGAGTCTTTGGACCTCGGCGGTTTTGGAATATCTACATGCTGATCCTCTTTGTTGTGGCACATCAGCTCGTTTGGGGAAACCATCTGAAGACAGCAAGATGTTTCTCGCTATCTTGTATTTCGCTTTGCCCTTAGTGGGTAAGTTGCTGGCATCTGATTTCTCTCTGTACATCTCTTCATAAAGCAAATCATAGGGTTTATGGGATCGGATGCCTGATGTTGTCAGTCTATTGTTTAGGCAGAATAGTGAAGTTTCCAGTAGTTTTTACGGCTCTGCCTCACATCAGTTAACCCAGTCTACATTTAAAGCTCTGGGAGATTACAGACTTAGATACTTGCTTGCGTAGCCTCTTGTTAAATCGGGTTCTCGCAAGTTACAGGGAAACTTTTCATTTTAATAAAATAAGGCTGCTTGGGGGGTGGGGGGTGACAAGAGCCAGCTGAAGGATTACATCTTCACCTGAACCTGGCAGCCTGCCCGACTGCGAGTGCTTTGTAGCCCAAACTGGCTTCCTTTCCACAGGAGATGTTTGCGTTTCCATCTGTGTGTGTCTGAGGCAGCGTGACAGAGGGCACGATGGAGAGGAGAGAGTTAATGTAATTTGCTTTGTTCTCCTGCAAAAGCATCGTACGTGGAGAGAAATGGAGGGGGGGGAGCCATAAATTCTACCTTTATACATGTAGAATAAGCAAAAATGTGTACAGCCTTTAAAAAGTGACTGACACAAAAAAAGGCTAATATCAATCAGTGAGGATACTTATCTCTGGGAGCGGGTTGTTCGTGGATGTAATTGAAATTACAGCAAAGCTCTTGTGGAAAGTGAGGCTGAATATTTAACCCCTCAGTTAAGCACTCGAATGGAAAGGTTATTTGTTTCACCAAAGTGGATCTAAGGAAAAATGAATGCTTGTTTTGTCAGGCACATTAACCCCTGTGGATTTTCTTTCCTTTTTGTGTTTTCTCATAAATCAACCAGCAGGGTTAAAACGTACTGTTTCCTTGGACTCCCACAAAAGTGGATCTAAAGACCATGAAAACCCTGTGTGCTTTTTCCTAAGGTGTAGCATGAAGCCCTGAGGTTTGCAAGGTGCTGCCGGGGGGGCTGGCTGCATGTGCTGCGTGAGGAGGTGCCTTGTGCTTTCCAGATGCCTGCTTTGGAGCCCTGGTTAAATCAGCCTCATCCCTCAACGAGAGTTTGTTGGTTTGTGTCTCCTCTCTCTAGATGTACTTTTGTCCGCAGAAGTGAGCGGGCTGCCTGGAGGGGACCGCCTTGACTGTGTGAAAGCCAGCGATCAGTGTCTCAAGGAGCAGAGCTGTAGTACTAAATACAGGACACTGAGGCAGTGTGTAGCCGGCAAAGAGAGCAACTTCAGCCGGGCGACAGGCCTGGAGGCAAAGGATGAATGCAAAAGCGCCATGGAAGCTCTCAAGCAGAAATCTCTGTACAACTGCCGCTGTAAGAGGGGCATGAAGAAAGAGAAAAACTGCCTGCGCATTTACTGGAGCATGTACCAGAGCTTACAGGGTACGTTGCAAAACAAAGAAATGTTACACTTCCCTAATGCAGTGTGTGGTTTTGCAGCCCCTCACATCCGCAGCTAGCTACCGCCAGTGAGGCTAAACCGAGAGTCTGACCCCATAATTCACATTGTGCTCTTCAGCTGCAAACTGAGGACCTTTCATCCGACTCAAGAACAGCTGCTGCTCCGTCTCCTGTTGTTGGGAAATCCACGATGAGGGTTTCCTCCAGGGGACCCAGCTGACCTTTCTAAACCCTAGTCAAAAGATAAGGGCACTAGCAAGTGCAAAAGCTACAAAAACAATCATTTGGAGACATTTTCCTAATAATATTTAAACTCCTTAATTAGGACTCACCTAACAAGATCACAGGACACTGGAACTAGTTTCTTAGCTCTTTGCTGAAAGTTAAATGTAATATGAAGAGGAGCATTGTTTTAAGGAAAAGTTTATTCTTTCCTTTCCTGTATTTACTAGCAATATTCCCTGGGCATGCTGAGGCAGAAAAAAAGAAGTTTGTGCTTCCTAGAGCGTGTAGAAGTGCCAGTTAGAAGGGATGGATATTACAGTGATTGACTCGGGACTTCTGTTCTTGATGTCACTGCCAAATTTCCCATCATCTACTGAGACCAGTCAGGTCCTTATATATAATTTTTAGCCCTGTTTTGCTCTGGCCCTGGAGTTGCAGATGCAATCTTTCACTTCAGCGTGGTCCCCATTTAACTCATTTCCGTAGCTGCTTCTGCAAAAAGGGAAGTCATCCCTTTCTGTTCATTTATCCAGGCATCAACTGGAACGTTTTAATGAGTCAATATATATTTTTGTTCTAACTTCCATAATGAATTACACTACTCCTGGACTTTTTCTGCATCATAAAAAGTTTCCCTTCCAACAGCATCTTATTAGGAGTGTTTTATTCTGAAGATGCTAGTTTTTGGCTGTTACCTGGGCTGCTCCTCTAAAAAACAGCTCTGCTGTTAAGGTGAATGAAGAGGAACATCCCTGCTACAGCTTCTCTCCTGCTGGCATGAGATGGGACAGTCCCTGTGATGTCACAGGCTGTCTCTGCAAATTATGACCTTATCCATGGAGGAAGGAGAGAAAAGAACTAGCATCAGGGATAAGCAACTAGCTTCTTTCAGGTGTTTTTATAGATAATGCTTTGAGGAGAAATAGCTACGTAAACAGATTAAAGGGAAGTACCTTTTGCTGTTACAGGGTAACTTCGTTTCAGAGTAAAAGTAAAGAACGGAATCTTATCCTGAATTCTCGTATAAGAAAAATACCCAAATATTTTTTGTCTTTAGGAAATGACTTGCTTGAAGATTCCCCTTATGAGCCAGTTAACAGCAGACTATCAGACATATTCAGGCTAGCACCGATTGTATCAGGTAAGCAGACTTAATATTCTTTAACTGAAACATGATTACAATCTGCTGATTTGTAGTTGAATTACGGAACTTTCAAGCAATACTCTCTTAAATAAAAAGAAATGTTAATGGCTTTCTGGATTTAGGAAGTTCATCATATAGTTGCACAAAAGAAAATACTAATTGGTTTTGAAATAGTAACTAAAACTGAAAGAGTGCTTGGCAGGATGGCAATTTGTATTCTTTTTGAATCATACTTGACAATAAATGCTAAATTTTCCTGTAGGTGGCAATCTGATTCCCTGCGTTCCTAATTTACAAATCAGTTCCTTTTTGGGAATGCGGTCAGTGCAAGTTACCTCCCATTGACATTAAAGCAGATCAGAAGATAAATCTTTCAAATGTTTGCATAAGGGAATGCTTTATAGTTTCATTTTTGTTTAAAAAAGGAACCCCTTTCAGAATTAACGCTTGTCTTCTTTTCTGGAACTACTGCCTGTTTAAAGAGCCGATTCACAACTTCCTTCTCTTTCTAGTTTTTCTCTGAACGTTTTTTGTTGCTGTGTGGCTGTCTTTCAGAACTTGTTTATAGTAATTTGAATATGTTGCTCGGTAATTAAACTAAGCTGTTTGGTTTTTATCAGCCTAAATTATACTCATTTTGGATCATATTTATTGAAATAATGATTTTTGGGCATTCAAAGGGGTTACAGGTTGGAATTGATTTTCTTTTTTGGAGTTGCAGAAAGTCTTATGAGGATGCAGTCGGTACTCGGGACCTTTATTTACTTAGTTACATAAAAAAATCGAATGTGCACAGTATAATGTGGAAGTCTGACAGTGTTGAAGCTGTAGTTAACTGACATGCTATGGATAAGCATTAGTAGATGGCTTTTTAAAAGAAAGAAGAAAAGACCAGAGAGAGTGGCTTAACCAATTTTCAGAAGTACTTACACTTTTTAGGACCCTAAGTCTCACTAAAAGCCAGGGGGACTTAGGTTGTTAAGTATTTAATGGTACAGATTTTCAAAGGCACATAGACACATAAAATGTAGATAACTGCCCATTGGGATTTTCAGAAAGGACTAAGTGATTTAAATAGGCATTTTTAAACTGCCCAGGCAGTTTTAAAAATTCTAAGTGCTTAATGCATCTTTAGGTATCTTAATGCCTTTGAAAATCAGCCCTTTAGTCACTTTTCAAAATGTGACTTCAGATCCAACTCATATACATCTTTTGAAAGCATTATCCTAGTTTTCCTAGTTTGGTGAGCAAGTCTGTAGGAGAAATAATAGAGAACAAAGATTAATTTCTGAAGAATCTTTATTTTATTTTTTATTGCTTAAAAACCCCAACTTAACACAAAACCAAGAAAAAATCAATGCAGAGGAGTTCCAGGCTGTTTTCTTAAAGTTTATGGTCAGCCTGCTGAGGGCCAAATTCTAACCTACCTCAGCAGTTTTATGATCTCCATAGAAATACCCTACGTACACTCTGCCTTTCTGTTATTTCTTAGCTTCCCCATTTACTTGCAAAGTGATGATCTTAAAAATGTAATTTTTTTTTTTTTTTCCTACCTATTCTGTGCAACAATGAAATAAGACATAGTTGCCAACAAGTGACGTCCATCCTACCGCAGTCACTTAATATGCTGGTGGACTGGTTAGGACCCATTCTGTGTTACTAGTGCACCCCAAATTGCTGTTCACTTTGTCAGAAGCTTCAGGTTTGCAAGGATTGGAGGCCTAGATTCACAGGGAGCAGCAAACAAAAGTTGTAATACAGTGGAAAAACACTAGCATTTGGAAGTATTGTCATCTGAAAGAAAAATATCAACAAAAGCATTTTTCTTATTGTCATGGTTACTACTGCATGTTACATTCTTTAAAGCTGCCTAGTCTTACAGATTTTTTGCAGGGCTCTGCAAATACCCCAAACAGCAGAACTTGGTAAGATTTTTATATCTTGATTAAAACAAAACCTGTACAGCAGTGTTGGCAGGGGTTTCATAACTGGTGTTCTGCTAATGTCATCGTTGTATTTATAGATGTTGCTGCAGTATTCACTCTCATTAAAGTTACTTGGGTGTAATTAAAAGCAGCAATTAACCCTTTCATCTCACAAAGGCCATTCTGTGGTGCTGTATGATTTGATATATATCAAGTGTAATGCTTTTGCCATCTTTTTTATTTATTTTTGATACAGTATAGAAAATCACAACAGTTGTCTTTTATGGTACATAAAAGGGGAAAAACTGGCTAAGATGACTGTTTTGTGCGTTACATAAGTCTTTTGTAGCGTACATAAGTCCAAGAAATGGTGGACAGTTTTTAAAAGCAGTTAAAGTTGATCTAATCCTGTACTGAAAGATGTTCAAAACTGCATCCTCTATGGAAACAGGATGCCACTTGCCCATTAATCGTTCAAGCATAAATATATTGATTTAAAACAAAAATCAGGAATTTATTGCTAAACCTGTTACTAAGTTTGTAGTTTCTCTCCAGTTCCCGTTATGTTAATGGAACAAGTGATGCAGTCATGTTACTAAAGTGAAGCTGTTTTATATTTTTAAGTGGTCTATGTTATACTGTGCCTAGTGGTGTAGTTAGTCTAGAACTAGAAGGACAAGCTAAATGTTCTATATAAAATTTAAACCAATGTCCAACAACACAGAAAAGAAAAATCTAAACCTACGAAATAATTTCTTGTCATACTAGCTGTTAAGCCCAGGGTATCATATATTTAGATACTGACAAGCATGAATTTTGCATTTGAATCACTACTAAATTTGCAAGGAAAGTGTAATTATTAAAAAAAAAAAAAAATTGATGGCTAAAATAGGAATGTGAGTTCAGTGCTTGATTTACTTGTGATGACGTATCCTGAGTATTCAAGGGTCTGATCTTCCTTCCTTTCTGTCTACACTTTAAGCTCATAATTCAGCTCCCTCTACAAAGTTAGTCCTCCGACACCTCACATGGCCAAATCCAGGAGTGTGAGTCTTCCCAGTTGAAGGACAGGGCTGTCTTGTTTTTTGTTTTGGGCACGTCTAGGTCTGAATTTCCTTTAGAACTACTATGTCTGATGTGGGGCTTCTGCCTCAAGGGTGTGAATTTCTTGCTGGTAGGCAGCTCTTCAAATTACTGAAGACTTGCGTGTCTGTTTTCGAGAGTAACAGATTTGGGTTAGTTATTATGATGTAAAGATTTTGCTTAAACAGACATTTTTGCTTAAACCTTAACAACTTCTGAGAGGTGAAAACATTTTAAGGCCACTGACTTCTGTCACAACGACAGTAAATGCAAAATCTGTTGATTGGATTTCAGAGGTAAATTTCACACCAAATTAAGGATAGATGCTTGAATTAGTCACTTGTTAAAGCTATCTACAGCTTCTTACTACCTGGGGAACAGTTTGCCTCTTGAATTTGCATTGTATTTGACATTGAGCCTCGCAACTGGAAGATACCTTATCATTTCGGTATCAGCTGATACAGTATAGTGGTCATCTCTGTGGCATGTTGTAAGAAAATACCCTGCATAAAAACTGTAGCTTCACGTACCTGTAGAAATACTTACAAAATAAATGTTTCTGAAATGTCTCATTCATTTCAACGCAAAATGGAGAGCCCCTAAAGCTGAATAAAATGCCTTAAGCCATATCTGTGAAGTGGCGTAAATAGAGTAATATTAAAAAGAATTGACTATTGATCAGTGTATTTAGGAAGACTTAATGCTCTCCTCCCATGGATTCACTTCTACCTTGCCTAGTTAATCACAGGCTTATTATCCCATTGTTCAGCTTTGTGTATCTTTTCTTCTTTCTTTTACATCTATTATGTTCAGAAATAATTTTAAAGAACAGGCTACATAAATCAGGGTATTTCTTAAAACATGTAGGTTTTGCTGGTAATCTGTGTAGAACTGGTCAGTTACATGCTGCTAGTTATGTCTTGTTTCTAGTTGCTAAAATGCAAAACTGGTAGAAATTAATTATTTTGCCAATATTTCTTTTTAGTGTAGTAAACTGTTTTTGCAAAGTGCCTTTTGTATCGTTAACAAATGAGAGAAAGAAACTGGCTCGTATGATTATATGTCAAAAGGAGTGTTTCCTGATTCTGCCGTTCTCATGG